CTCGCTAGCGCTAAATAACACCAATGTTCAAATGAGCATAAAAAAAATTGTAGAGACTTTGACGATCTTGAGGTGTTCTCATCTTAAAAAGCCTTTTCAAACAAACCCTCACTCGTCTCCACATGCCATTTAAGATTTTCAACTCTTCTTTCCCCTTCCCCCGCCTCCCTCTAAAGAGTTGAAGTCAGTGTTTTCAAGATTAAATAATAGATTTCATGATGGTATTGTATAACTCTATAAATTTTAATCAAGTATCTCGAACCATTCAGAAATTATTTAGGTGGCCTGTTTTAATTGCCTCACCCTGTATATCAGATGTATTAATATTATATAATACAAATGCAAATAAGCAAATATCAAAACTAGTTTAACATATAACTATCATATTATATTTAAGATGCAATATGTATGTTATGTTATCTACATATTACATCTAACATTATGCTTTTTAATAATGGCGATCGATTAGATTACGTTATTTAAAATATTCTAAATCTGCTATAAAATATGATCAAGATTTTTTATGTATATAATATAATCTTTCTTAAACAATAAAATAAATTATTGATCATTTTGGATTATATAATTCAAAAGTTAAACAACTTTAAATGATCACATTTTTAACGCAACAATTATAAATATAAATTTATAATTAATAATTAATTAATACAAATTAAAATATTAAAAAAAAATAAAATTTTTATTGCAAAAAATATATAAACATCACAAAGAATTTCTTTTTACATATTTAAAAATCTATTCAAATCTCCATTGTTTTGTAGTTACCTTTTCTATATCTTTCTTTCCGTATAATTTATTTAAAGAGCTTGTGTCTTAGTAAGTTTTTTTTTTTAATATATTTTCTTATAAAGTTATTCATGATTTTAAATTTGCAAAAACATTTGGCAGAATCTGCTAATCTGCTAAAATTTATTTAAAATTTTGTGTCAATTTTATCAATAGATTTTCAACGGATGTAATTATGTCAACGGCTTTTGGAATTAAATCTAATTGTATTAAGGAGCCAAATAATGAGTATCGTATCAAGGGAAGAAAAATTTTTAAGGTGAATCCAATTTGGATCGCCCTATTTGTGTTTGTGCCACAAATTATGGATTTCTTTTCTATTCCTCTCACGTATCGAGACGTCACCAGTTTTTATATGAATATGTTTAAAAAATGTAGAATACAGACAAACTTATAACATCATTAGGCACGATTTTCTGAATCTACTCATTCAACTTATGGAGAAGGGCTATATTGAATCTGACGATGACAAGAAGGCCATCAATACATCAAGTTAATATATTTATTTATATATTTTCACCAATAGCTTCTCTATGTATCTTGAAAATGTAAACATATTTTCTCACTTTTGCAAATCAAATAATTAATTTTGTTAAATGTGTATGTGTATTATAATATAGCATATATTCGTATTATGTGTATGTACCATACATGTACAGATATTCCCATATAAGTGGCCACCTCTTTTTATCTTGTAAGCTAATAGAGATAGACCTAATAAATATAATATCAAATTAAACGGCTCTGACTAAACTTTATTGTAAGCACAGTAATCATCACTTAGAAATATTTATATCTATGTTAAAAAGCGGAAAGACATAATTAATTTTTGCACGGTAATGTGACAATTTTAATATGGTAAAAGCTGTAGCGTTCTTTTTAACGAATACAACGATATATGATATAACGAAATTATTTTACAAATTATAAGAGTTATTTTGGTTTAAAATTTTGCGGGCAGCTACTACCTTTTCAATTTTGACCCTGTGATGTGGTCAACTCTCGCACTAACGAGAGTATTATGATCAGATAAAAACATTACACGTCAATTAATTGTTAACGAGAAAATCAGAAGTTGGCCACATCGCAGGGCCGAAATTGAAAAGGTAGTAGCTGCCCGCAAAATTTTAAACCAAAATAACTCTTATAATTCGTAAAATAATTTCGTTATATTATACATCGTTATATTCGTTAAAAAGAATACTACAACTTTTACCATATTAAAATTGTCACCTTACCGTGCAAAAATTAATCATGTCTTTTCGCTCTTTAACATAGATAATATTTCTAAGTGATTACTATGCTTATATAAATAAAGTTTAGTCAGAGTCGTTTAATTTGATATTATATTTATTAGATTTATCTCTATTAGTTTACAAGATAGAAAGGGATGGCCACCTATACATATGTAATTAAAACTTTTTAATGTGTTTCTTTCCCTACATGTGATTATTAATAAAATTATATTACATTATTTACCCACAGTAACCGTAAACAAACTTACTATGGCGGAAGCTGCTGCACAAAGTTATATCTTTTTCATAGCTGGCTTTGAATCAGTCTCGACGACAGTCACGTTCGCTTTATATGAATTAGCTCAACATCAAGATATACAAGACAAAGTTTGCAAGGAAATCGATGAAATATTAGCAAAACATGGTGGTTTGACTTACGATGCTATGAATGAAATGACATATCTTCATAAAGTAATGAATGGCAAGTAGACTATTACATATTGTTTCTGGTTATTTAATGATGTTTATTTAAATTCGATAATGAAATTTCGAATTTAAATAAACTTATTATTAAAAATAAATTTATTTAAATTTCGATAATGAAATTTCGATGAAGATTTTATTCTTTCATAGTATCTTGTTTTTTTGTAAGTATACTTAACTTCATCGGCAATGTAAAATTTTTAACCTATAGATTCTCGAAATGGGTAATTAAAGTCCACAGCATATTTTTTTTATTGCTTTGATATATAAAAATATAAAATAATTTATGTGTACTTCTGAAGCCTTTAACAACAAATTTTTATCATAATTAATAGATGTCAGATTGTACGAGGTGTGTGATAAAAAAATACGGTAATTGTTGAAATAAAAAGAAATTTAATACATTAAGAGACAAATTAAATTAGTCCCCTTCAAAATACTTTCCCTCGCTTTTAATACACTTATCCCATCGTTCTTAAAGAAGTACTGCAAATCCTCTTTCATAAGTGCCTTTAGTTGCGCTGTTGTGACTGCCTCAATGTTTTGAATTGATTCAAAACATTTACCTTTCATAATCATTTTGATTTTGGGGAAAAATCTAAAGTCTCACGTTGCCAAATTTCGTGAATACGGTAGATGAGGATACACCGTGAAGTTCTTACTTAACAGAAATTGCCGTATCATTGGAAGCTATGTGGGACGTAGCGTTGGCATGATGAAGGATGAAACCGTTTGCCTATTTCTTAGGTTTTTTTCTACACACATTCTTCGTATCTTAAACGCTTTAATAAGCCTTTATAATATTCAGAGTTTATCGTAAACGTTTTAAATCAATTCAAGATATTAAGACACTAAAGGCACTTATGAATTAAAAAAGACTTTTAGTACTGCTTTAGCAAGTGACAAGAACGATCGAATAAGTGTATTGGTAGCAAGGGAGGAGGGGAGTATTTTGAAGGGATATAATTGTAATTTGTCTTTTAAAGTAATAAGTTTCTTTTTATTCCAATATTCATCATATTTTTTTATTACATCTCATATTTGACTTGTTTTTTATACACATTTAAATGTAAGAATTTTGAAACAATGTAATATTGTTTAAAAATTCATAATGTTATATGAGTAAATGAAAAAAAATCTTTTTATCACGTTATAATACTAGAGAGTATATATTTTGGAAAAAAATGGTATAATTATATTGGTTTTAAAATGTTTAATTTGAATGCCTGAAAATAAAAATGTTAATGAATAAACGTTCAAGTTTTTTCAGAGAGAAAAATGTAATAAAATCACTTCTAAAGCAGAATAATTGTAAAATTTTGTTTATTTCTACTACAATGAGTATAAAAATGCAAATAATAGAAATATAGCACATACAAAAATGTTTACGTTTTAAAAAATCTTTATACGTTTATTAAAAATAATATACCTAAACAAAAAATCTATCTTAAAAGCAAAATGTCCTACATTTATGCAAATTTGCATGAAAAACTTACAAAACACAAAAAAATTTTAATGTTATTTTGCTAAAAAATATTAATTCGGTCTACAATATGCGTCGCTGGAAGCACAGACACGACTTACGAGGTAGAGTCAAAAAATTTCCGAAATTGGTTAATAACAATTTGAAATAATATATAGTATAATTTTTACTTTATTGTCCTTCGAAGTATTGTCCTTCAAAGTATTGTCCTTCTGCATTTATACACTTGTTCCACCATTCATACAATTGTTTAAAACACTTCTGAAAGCCATTTTTGGAAAATTCCTCCAGCTGTTTCGTCGTATTTTCTATCACCTCTTCTGAATTAGCAAAACGGTGTCTCTTCAATTTCATTTTCAGCCGTGGAAACAGATAAAAGTTCGCTGGTGCTATATTTTTATAGGAATTTTTTACCTGTTTCCATGGCTGAAAATGAAATTGAAGGAACATCGTTTTGCTAATTCAGAAGAGGTGATGGAAAATACGATGAAGCAGCTGATAGAACTTTCCAAAAATGACTTAATTCCAGGAGTGTTTTGAGCAGTTGTATGAACGATGGAACAAGTGTGTAAATGCAGAAGAACAATACTTTGAAGGACAATAACGTTAAAATACTGTATATTATTTCAATAAATTGTTATTGACCAATTCCGGGAACTTTTCGACCCTACCTCGTATATTTGCCCTTACAAAAACAAGCAATCGCAACAACTGCTGGCGTTCTCATGAGGACACAATCTCAACATCACTAAATTTTTTTAAGGTGGAATACCACATCTTATCACCTATTTGTTCTCTTAAAATTACCAATCAAAAAAAAATTTGCTGTGCCTTAAAAAATACAGTTTGCAGATGGAGTGTTAAATAAATTGCTTATATTTTAAAATATATATATTTTTATGTTTTTTTTACTTATTGCAGAGACTTTGAGAAAATATCCACCTATTCCATTACTAGTTCGCATCTGTACCAAGGATATAGATCTACCGACAACGAACATTCATCTCCCAAAGGGGACTTTAATCAATATACCGTTGCTTGGACTGCATCGAGATCCGTCAATATATCCGGACCCAGATAAATTTGATCCTGAACGATTCAACGCAGATAAAGTAGCAGAAAGACATCCTTATGCATATTTGCCATTCGGGGAAGGCCCACGAAATTGCATTGGTAAGGATATGAATTCAGCCATTAATAAATTTTATTTATATAGAGTATCTCAGGACTTATAACGGTCAAACGGCCGCGGAAACATATTCTACAAGTGAAATTAAGAAGAAAACCTTTTATGATGTTTGGCTATAAAAATGCATTATTACAAGGTTATATTCACGTTTGAAGTGATTTTGAATCGTTTAAAGATATTAAATATGATGTAAAAATGTACACACGAAATAAAGACGTTTTACCTTTCCGTACGCAAAGTGTACACTTTTATAAAGAATACATTGTTGATTCCTTTATGTTCCGTTTACACATTTATTTATGATGTTGTAATGCATTTATATTCAAACAGGTGAAACTTCATGTAACATTCTTTTCATATTTTTACTTGTAGAATATGCTTCTCCAATTTGGCCGTTTAATCCTAGAGATACTCTATCAAACTGTTATAAACTATTTTTATTGCGACTTATCATTTTCATGCTTATTTCTTATAATAATTGCATTTAAATTGACAATGACAGCTAGATGTATTATTACATTTGAATACTTTTTTCAATTACTCTTAAAAAATATATGTATGTTGTTTATAGCAGTAAATATGCATTACATTTATTAATTAAATAATAATTATAGAAATAGTAATAATGAAAATAAATTTAAAAATACTTTTTCAAATTCTTTTGATATTTTTATAACAAGAATAGTTTTTATTAATTATTATTATTGTTACAACAATTGCGTAAATGTTTTACCAAGACATTAAAAAAAAATTTATATAAACAATAAAAAGTTTATAAAAGATAATTAAAAAATCTCAGAACTCCCAAAATTAAAATCTATATTAGAAGAAAAAAAATAAATTTGGCGCGGTAGACGTTGCGCAATAAAACTTATTTTTTTTCTTGAAATGTAAAAAAATAAAAAATGTTGTATAAACAATATCAATTTAAACTAAACCGCGTAAGTGAATGTCACAAATTTTGAGAGCACGTTCTATGGCTGGATCTTGGTGCCCAATAATAATATTATATGATTAATTAAGTCTTATTATCTGATTAGTCTATATTATACGATTAATCAGGATACCATGGAATGTTTACTAACAATTGAGAACATAAAACGCCAACACGGTACAAAGCGGATCTTAGTACTTCCGTATAATTTTTAATGTAAATCTTACAATTTTCGGTTCATAATACCACGTGGCCGAATAAATTGGCGTTCGATTTGAAATCGAACCATTGTTGATTCGAAATTCTTGAACTGTTCGATTTCGAATCTAGCAGATTCGAAAACGAACTCGAATCGAATCTACTGTGATTCGATTCAATTCGATTCGAATTCGAACTATTCGCACACCTCCATAGCAATTTAATTGTGATATTACACACTACTCGGTTCGGAGCTGCGGAGAAGCACGCGATTTGCGGCCACGCAAATAACGCACGACGTGGTGTTATGAATCAAAAATTGTAAGATTCACATTAAAAATTATATGAAAGCACCAAGATCCGTACAATATTATATGAATTTTTAAATCAATTATTCAACCATTTAAACTGCATTCAAAATCATTATTATTGCAATCATTAGCTGTAGCTAAAATAGTGAAATCATAATTGATCTACTTCAATAATTCTACGCAAGTGAGCAACTTAAATCTTTACTTACGCTGTTCAGTTTGTCAAATTGTCTAAATTGTCAAATGTTTAATGAATAAATTGTTAACTTTGAAAAACATAATTGTTTTTTGTCTTTTAATATAAAAAAATATTCTTTACATTGTATTTAAACGAAATCTTTTAAAGCTTAGAATAAGTTATTATAGAATTGTTCTGCAAGTATCTCATGCATTAGTATTATTAATTTTCAGGTGCACGATTTGGTTACATGCAGACCAAAGTTGGACTCGTGAGTCTTCTGTCGAAATACAATTTCAAACTTCATTCCCGGACTCAGGACCCGATTATTTTTAACGAAAAGTTTCCTGTTCTTTCGGCAAAAGGCGGTGTACACTTGATTATCGAACCACGATAAAATAATCGCGTTTTTATGTAAACTTAAAAATACATATTTGTATTCTTGATCTATTCTAAATAATACGGTATATGTGCTATTAAATATTATTACCATTTATGAAATAAGAATATCGTATTTATAAATACCAAATGCAATAATAAAAAATGTAATTATAAAGACAACGCTATTTTATATCTTTAATTTTTCATCATTATGTTTTTCTATTATCATTGCGTTATATTATTATAATAAATATAATATTAACATCAGGATTGAGTAATAACTACTTACAATTAGTTAAAAGTTATATAAAAAGTTAAAAGATTAATAACTTCTAACTTAACTTAATTCATTCTAAATGAGTTAATTTTAACTAGCTGTTTTTAAAACAAATAAACTTCAAACTCACAAGATTCTTCTTCTTCTTCTCAGTCGGTGAGCTTTCATGAGAGCGTAGTGACGTCAGATGACGCCTTTCAGTAATCCATCTCCCATAGGGTTTCACTATTTACCCATAGGGTGGGAAAAATAGTGACAAATGTTTCAATTTCTATGAAAATCTAGTCCGTATACATGACTTATGGAAATTATAATTAAATTTTTTGTATATATAAAAGTGAAAAATCATATCTTGTAAACTTGAAATTAGCTTGTAGGAAAGAGAGGAAAAAATCCGTCACTATTTGACCCCCTTTTCTTTAATACCAACACTCTTGCACTTTCAAAATGGACTGGACAAGATGTTTTAGATAAATTATTGTGAACGATTATCATGAAAATATTGACCAACGACGATTTGTACATATAATTTTATTGGAAATAATTCTTTACTCACTGAAAATGAATTAATATAAATTAAAACGTTTAAGGTTGTTATGATTACAATGTATTATTTTATATGTAATATTTTGATTTGTAATATACATGTATAGTGATTTTTATTTACGCTGATGTCGTCCTTGGCTCTATCTTTGTTTCTTATTTAAATTTCTATATTTATTAATATTTAATATTTAATTTTTAATATTATATTGAAATATTAATTATCAAATATTACATGTAAACCTTTTTCTTTCTTCTCAAATTTAATATTATATTTAATGTTATTATACATATATCTTAACATTTAATTATATATTAAAAATAAAAGTGAAAAGGAATAAAAACGTTATTTTTAACAATCACATTATCAATAATGTCACGTTTTAAATATTTACAGAACAGAACAGTCTGCTCGATTTCTGTAAATCTGATATCAGTTTTTCAGGAGATTCTGCTCAGTTTCTGCCGCTAATCTGCGGTCAAGGAAGTTCTGTTTGATTTCTGTTGCCAATCAGTTGGCAATAGAATGGTAACAAAGGCTGTTGATAGAATAAAAACTGAATGCAACACTAAACTTAACGTCAGTCTGCTGATATCTGCAGATATGTTGACAGTCTGCCGACATTCTAACATTTTACTATCTGCTTGTATACATTTATTGCAGTGAGAGTTGAACGTAATTTTCACACATTTCTACAATCGATACAAATTATAAGGTAAGATGATCAAGAATATAACATTTGTGCAATTTTTGTAAGCTTATGTATCAAAGTGAAACCGTTGATTAATCTTTAGGGTGGTTTTATCGTTCAACGCCAACTCGATAGTGTGTTACATAAATAATGTCACACAATCGTATATGTACAGTCTATGCAAAATGTTTTTATTGAATTACGCTTGTCTCTATTAAATTATGAGGAACTAACTTTTGACTGGGATTTGCATTATAAAATCACCTTAACTTGTTTTCTCCTCCATATTTGTAATGTGCAAGTG